CATTACTTTCCATAAAAAGTAACTAAGTAACGTAATTAGTTACTTCTTTAGGGAGTAACGCAATATTGTAATGCATTACTTTTAAAAGTAACTTTCCCCAACACTGATTATAACCAGTAGACGACAGCAGAGGAGCACGTATTGGCTTATTAGTCATTCATTTATACTTTTTCCTCTATATTTTGAAATGATAAAATCACTATTATAAAATATCAAATCATCAAGAAATCAGATTTTGTCAGTTCTTTACACGTTTTTTGTGCATGAAGTAAGAAAAATCACAAAGTGCCTTGAAAAACGAACTTTTCTTCAATTTGCTACTAAATCACACATAATCACTGAAGTTGGTCAGTTCCATATACTAGAAGAATAATGGTACATTTAATAAGAGTGGAATATATACATTTTCTATATAAAAATTAGATTTTGCACTTGTTACTGTTGTTAATAAAAGTAAATTTTGAATGCATCTTAACTCAAGCTTAGTGCTTTACTGTCAAATCTGTATAAACAATAAACAAAAGAAAAATAAACAATAAATGGACATGTAATATTATTAGTAACTGCACTTATTAATGCAAAACAATAGTAATTTTATGATTAAATTATCTATATTTTAATACTCCTGCACACCACCCCCAGCGCTACCAAATCTGCTCCTGGTGCCACCATCTGTAGAACTTAGTGGCGCTGGTGCCACTGCACTCAAATGTTAGTCTAGAGCCCTGTGTCATTCAAATATTTCTTAAAGTATTAAAACATTGTCTCGTTCTATTGAACCAAGTATCTGCATTTTGTCTCATCTCGTGAACTAAGTTTATTGTCACACCCCTAGTGTCGATAAGCGGTGATATAGCTCATAATTTTCCATAACATAGCCTAGCTTTCATTCTTCAGGTCAATCATATACTCAGTCATAAATCAGTTTGAATAAGGAAAGCGATAACTTTGCCATAGTATCCTTTCAAATGTTAAAGTTGCCACAGTCATTGCATTCTTTGCATGTGCTGCACTTTATTTGTACCATTTGTTTTATTAGTTTATATATTAGAATTTGAAAGACAATAACAATATTTTTTGATAAGTGATCAAAATCTGATTCTAGTCCTTGAAAACCAAAAGAGTAGTGCTTGAAAAGTCCTTGAAAGTCCTGGAATTTCCTTTTGCAGTATCTGTACGAACCCTGTTTAAGTTACCAGTTCTTGGAGCATTTTATTTTGTTGTTGTTAATTAAACTGAACTGTAGTTTTCTGTAGTAAACTGTCTTTGTATATTTCCTATTTTATATTAAATTCCTAGTATTTAATTTACTATTATTTCTTTTGAGCAAAACATTTTCAGAAATTTCATGTTTTAAATTGTAGGTCATCTTGTACCCTGTCAAGGACAAATCTAACCAGCAAAACTTGATATCAAAAGCATCCTAAATGTTACATGTGTTTGCATTATAGTGAGTAAGTAACCTTTCCTGTTATTGCTGTTTCAAATAGCCCACCATAATCTGTAGTCTGAGCCTGTCAAGGGCTAATGGCAAGGGCAGATATGCTATTAGTTAGTTTCAAGGAAAATAATTTTCAAATGTCTTTTTTTTTTTTTTTTTGCCAAATAACCCTGTGTATTTGTCCACCCCCGCAACCCCCCAAACCCCGGAAAAAAGTTCAGGCTCAGGATTTTTTTTTTGCTTTAACCCCTGATGATAATATAGTCTGTGATGCTAATTAAATTGTACATTTTTACAATAACATTGTAAATTGTACATTGTGTAAATTTTTCAGACTGCATATGATTCACTTTAATAATGTAAAACACATTTAAGATAATTGTTTTTCATACTTTAATGCAGAGAAAAAATTGCAGATTGATTCTGGAGGACAAATGTAATAAAATGTTATGCTCTAAAAGCTCTTCAAATCATTACAAAGTAAATTTAATCATAAATGTAACTGAGCAGCTATTGATTCCAGCTATGCATCAAGATAACAGATTTAATAGTATTGCTAAGACAAATTTTCCATTGCATTTGACATTATCTAGTGAAGTAGCATTTAAATATAAGCAAATTATATGTAAATTCTATACGAGAGAAGTTTAAAAACAGAAAGGCTGTGATTGTTATTAATCTGTGCATTTAAAAGGGTGTCATTTCCTCCCTCTTCTCTTGATTTCATGGCTGTTTATTAGACAGCTGGCCTCTTTAAGGCAGTCAAAGCAAGAACTGTCTTTACGCTGATTGCATCTCAAGAAGCTGTGGGCTAAAGTATCACCAGTCCTCTGATTTAACTAGACCCACTCTTCCTGGCCTCTCTGCACTATTACAGATTAGCTAAAAGGCAATTCAATTGCCACTTAGTTACCATAAACAAAAGCTTCTTAACAACCTTAAGTTAAACGGAGCGCATTGCCTTGATAAGGACTACATCAGTGAAGTAAACAAGTACAACACTAGATAGATCAGTGTTCTCACAGATTAAATACAGTTTGCTTTGCCTTTTTTGTTTATTTGTTTGTATATTTGTTTTTTCCCCTCCCACAATATACATCTGAATATTTTACCATGTCAGTCACATTTTTAGGGCCATAAGAAATGCTTTGTAAAACAGAATGAGGTTTAATAGCAACTGTGCTGTCAGATGTGAAACCTTTATCTTATGTGACCTTTAATGTAAGCATTAATGTGCTAAATGTTATTATCACCAGAGCTGTCAAGTTTGTCTCTTAGTGTTTGAAGGGGAAAGTGTGCAAAGTGTTAGCCTTGCTTTATAGATTGCATAGTTTCTGTATTTCTGGTGGTCTTTTAACCCCTGCCTCTATTCACAAACATTTTCACTTTTCCACTCAGCTATCCATGAATTTCCAGAGGACATCTTCACTAAGGGACAGAGGAGGCATGGGGCAATTCTACTGCATGTGTTTTGTGTAAGTATACCACAGTACAGTGAGAAATATATAGAGAACTGTATGATGCAGGGACTAACTAAATAATGCAAAGTGCACTAACAATCAAAAGTTTAGGGTGAATAAGATTTTTTTTATTTTATTTGAAAGACATCAATATTTTTATTCAGCAAGAATACATTAAATTGGTCAGATGTGACTGTAAAGAAGATTTCTGTTTTAAATAAATACTGTACTTTGTATAGTATATGTACATACAGTATGTAATATGATTTGCACAAAAAATAAATAGATTAGCAGCTGTTTTCAACATTGATATTAATATGAAGTGTTTCGTGAGCACCAAACCAACTGTTTTTGATCAAATAAATCCAGCCTTGGTGACCATCATAGAGTTTTAAAAAAGTTTAAAAAATACTTAAAAAAAGACCCCAAACTTTTGAATGATAGTGTACATTTCCTTTTTTATTTGCATTTTTAAGGGTTTTAGAAGAAGTTTTTATTTTTACTTGATTTCTAGTTTCACTTAGAATTATTGTAATTTGATTAGATAAACATTTGTTTACTTGTAAGGATGCATAGCAAAATTCAAAATAATGATATAACTAAAAATGAAAGACTTCATTCAGTACAGTCTTTCGAAAGCACTGTTATTGTTATATTGTAAAGTTGGTGTTTGTAAAGGTTAAATAATGGATCTCTGCTGAACTGTATACTGTGCGCTCTTGTGACCACAGGCAGTTTACATGTTCTACGCCCTTGCTATTGTCTGCGATGTCTACTTTGTCCCCTCTCTGGAAAAAATCTGTGAGGTGAGTGTACTTTGTTCGTACTGGCAGGAATGTCTTACTGCGAAATATCAGAGCATATTCTGAGCTGGAGTTTGTAATTTCAGAATCTGCACCTCAGTGAGGATGTTGCAGGTGCCACTTTCATGGCAGCAGGCAGCTCCGCCCCCGAGCTTTTCACATCTTTGATTGGTCAGGCCTCTAGCAATGTTTTTCAGTAAGTTGTTGCTGTAAATAAGTCATCAATAAATAATTGTCTCTTCATATCAGGTGTGTTCATCACCAAGGGAGACCTGGGGGTGGGAACTATTGTGGGATCAGCTGTCTTCAACATCCTGGTCATCATCGGAGTTTGTGGAATATTTGCTGGACAGGTAGTATATGCATATGCAATACATTAAATATGAAACGTTACAGTTCTCGTGACTTTCCACCGTTCCTGCTTCACAGACCATCACTCTGACCTGGTGGCCGCTCT